ACACACACCTAACCCCAAAAGAAAGCACTATAAGCTTGTGTTATGGGATACTAGGGTAACGGATAGAATACATATATAAGTTTATTAATATAGTAATAAATATTACAATACAGAGCACAAATGCTCGTATTCATCACACAAACATCTGCCTGCACCGGGATTTGAACCCGGCACCTCTCGAGTCGGCGATACCATGAAACCGGCGTATAAACCACTCGGCCACGGAGGTCGTCAAATATGCATCTCTTTAGTTTTTGTACACTGCTGACTGAGTGACAAGAGCTATAAATGATACTACTCGCTCAGTGATGCTCGCTTAGCCAACACAAGTGCGTGCTTGTGCATTTTTTCTCAGAACCTCAGATTAACATTATTCTGAGCTCAATATAGGCCTATTCGCTAACTGCTTTTGACAGATAAAAATGATAATCACCGAGCAATTTAGTGATCAAGTACTGCTTTATTATAACACTACTACCAATTTCGCCAAAACTGCTGTATGAAATCTGTCAGATTTAAGTAATTTATTCAATTCACAGTCGCTTACAGCCCAGTTCCCGTACCATGAGCACAACAATTAACACTATATCGCGTTTTTTATCGCGTCTAACTATCAAACTTCATAGCAATTTGACAATTGAGCGTGATAAAAACGCTTAATATATCACTAGCTGTGCCCCGCGGTGTTAGCCGCGGTATATTAGGGATATTTCCCGCAGTAAAACGTAGCCTATGCAGGGTTTCAACTAACTCCATACTAAATATATTTAAAATCGCTCCAGCCGTTTAGACGTGAAGAAGTAACAAATTCACACACAAACTTTCGCCTTTATAATATTAGTGTGATATCGCGGTGCTCATCCTAGGGGGGCAGCGATAATACTGGGAACAGCACACTCGCTTCCCGCTGATCATAAAGTCGTTTACGTAAACTCGCTTCTCGTTTATCATGAGCAGTGGGAGAAGTGCCTACGGATAAGGTTTGTATATTTTTTGGAAAATACACCTGGACCAGCCGGCCTATTCGCGAACTTTTTTGACATCTACAGTGTGTAACCATATTTAAATGATTGGTCTCGCTTGTCGAGTGAAGTCATGGGGGGATGATGAGATCATCATCAGATCTTTCCCAAATATTTTTTTTATATTAATATTATTTTTAAGCATTTAACTGCTATATGTTTAAAACTAAAGAAATAGTTACTAGAAAAAAATATAAAAAAATCCAAATATCTCGACAAAAGTGATTCAAACAAAAAAATGCATCAAAATCGTTCACGCATCTAGGATATGCGCAAGCAAAAATAAAAAAAAATGTAAGTACTGATAAACCTCCTCTTTTTGAAGTCAGTTAAAAATAGATTTTCTGTGAATCGATCTTTAAGACCTAATGTTGCACAAATCATCTACGTATCGCACCGATAATCCCTAACGGGGACCCCGCGGCTTCGCATTGAGCAGTGTAGAAGGTATTCGCAGGGTTTTTAGCGGAAATTATGCCGTAAAGCGCCCGTAAGAGTTACGGGGTCCTCAATGGGTAGCCACTGCTGGGGCTCGTAGGGCTTGCTGGAGCCAGGTGAAAATCTCGTTCGGCGTAAAGGCGCCGTCGTCTGTAAATAGTATTTTTTGCCTGCGTATAAAAAAAAAGAGGTATCCCACCGATGTTCTTTATAAAGAGTGCAGCTTGTTGAGGGTTCGTCAGATCTTTATTGTAAAATCGATACTTGCTATCAGTGCCGTCTTTGACCTATTGGAGGCTCTGAGCATATTAGGATAATGGGGTCCCTATGACTTCCGTTTGGTAATTTAACAGGAAATAGGGACTTTCTATTTGATCTGAGGGGGACCCCCTATCGATCGTGGGGCCCTGGGCACTTACCCAAAGTGCCCAAATGGGAAAGACGGGTCTGCTTGCTATGCATGGAAAAGTGTCTGCATAACCAGAGTATAAAACTCTTTGCCTTAGACGCAACTTTCGGATTCCAATGCCTATCACGCATACGTCATTCATCCAACGACATTCCACATTTCTTCTTCCTTTCATTTACAACAAGATTTGTCGCTTCTTTGCTAATCTTCACCTTCAGTCTACAATTTGTGTCAAAAGGATGGTTTCCTCTTGGCTCATGGATCTATCATATCAGGAAACAGAGGACATAATCAGGCCTGTAAGTTGACTACTTACTTAACTATGGGTGAGTCGTAAATTATCACAGGCACACACCCATGCGCGCATACACACACACATACACACACACACACAATCACACTCGAACATAGATAGACTCACCTTTAAGTATTACCGTAACTTCCTCACTCACAATGTTCACCTCACGAGTTTTGTCAACATATTGTAATGCGAACCATTTAGAAAAACTGAAATATTAGGTCTTTGCATAACGAGCTCAGCTCAGTGCAAACACCACTGTTTAATTATAAGCTAAGTTAAAATTTTGTATTGGTGAATAAATATATTTTTGTTTTTTTTTTTGATTTTTGAAGACCGGGAATACGTCAAAAAGGAAGCGGCATTAAAACGTTTATGATTCCAAAAAAAAAAAACACAGGCCATACACACTGGTACATTTCACTAAAGATTCATTTTAAGTTTTTAGTACATACATCATTATAAGAATGTTATTTATTTAATTATATTTGTAGATAGTTGATCGTTTCTTAACAATCAATTTCAATTCAATTCGTAAAATTATTTTTTTTCACCCACCTTTACAAAACTGAAAATATCTTGACAACTAAATTTCGACATTTGGACCGATTTTCCTTGGAGGACCACATTATAACTTTTTTATGTAATATTGCATTTTCACAATCACGTTCGCCATTCGCCTCCTCATTCGACAAAACATTCGTTAAAGAGTGCCGTCGCTAACTACTGGTCACACATTCGCGGAGTGAATCATTTTGACACTCGTAAAGAAACACAGAGGACCTGAAATAAGGTCGGCATGCACTTTGCTTCTATTGGGTTTATACAATATAATTTTGATGTCCGCCGTAAAAGAAAATAAAAAAGTTAAAAAACTGGCAAAGTGCGAGTCGGACGCCCACGAAGAGCTCCGTTCTCTTTATCTATACAATATTAGATAAAACAAAATCGAGCAAAGGCAAAAATCGGCAAATAAATACGTCCTGTTGTATGGGAGCCCCCCTTAATATATAGGGGCAAATACCTTCCTTGTGGATTTGTTTTGTTCTTTATTTATTTAGAGATTTATTTTGTTTTGTTCTTTCATTCTACTAATATGCCAGCCTCATCATACCCTAACCTAAACTTATACACAAATAATTTATCCTTGTGCATGGAAGAGGGAAATTGGACCGTGACCCACTACGCAGGCCCAGTGCGGATTGGTAGGTACTAACGATTGCAAATGCAGCAGGGACCAATAGCTTAATGTACCTTCCGAAGCACGGAGGAGCTCATGATAATATGTTTTTGGTCACTCCAATGACAAACCAATGCGAAAGTAGCTTAATTTCAACGATCGCCACCGAAAGCGCCACTTGCGCTGTCGAGCTCCTCGAGATATTTATTTTAATTTAATTATTTATTTTTAAAGTGAATATGTAACCATATATTCTGTGAATAGCGTCTACCTATTGCCGTTATTAATATAGAGCAAAAAACGGTAAAAAAAAAGTTTGTTGCATGGGAGACCCCTCACATATTTATTTTATTCTATTTAACACAGACAGACGGACAAAGGAGTCTTAGTAATAGCCTTGGGTACCAACGGAACCCTAAAAAGAACCTTCAATGATGGTGGATGATAGCGTGTCATCGCAATAGAATAAGTGTATTCAATCCGAAATGCTGTGCAGAAAATTCTATAAGTAGACATTATGGTTTTACATTTTTCTTCTATGTAATATATAAAAGATCGTTGCATCCTTTAACTTTTGTCTATTTCTATGACTGCGACGTCTTGGATTCCAAATGAGCTCTTCCTTTTGATAAAATTACAGGAATACTGAAATTCGCAATTCACTCCACTCCATTTTTTCTACACGTTCTGTTGGCACTGGCGCTAGTTGTCAGCCACAAACTGTATCGTAAAGCTAGCGCATTCGTCAACTTTATGCAGACGAATGTGTAAACAAACAGTCAGCTCGTGCTCGCCATTCATGCCCTTTGATTTGATGAATCCGAAAAACCGCTCCCAACGCGACCGCGCAAATCGCAAGGCGAGTTATGAGGCGAATAGCGAGTCACTCGCCTCGCCATTCGCACGAATGTGTAAATGCGGCATTATGCATAGGTACAAAAAATTCAAAAAATATTTTTAAAGCACTGAAAGTTTTCAATTACCTACCTACCTATACAGATAAGTGAAAAATACTTGTTAAAATAAAGTTTGTCTGCAATAGAAATACCACCTATTCTAGAGATTATATTTATATTGTGTCTAATTTTAAATACTTAGTAATATTTATGGTAAACTAAGTATAAAAATACTTATTTAAATTTCCAGTCACATCTACAAATCCAGCCAGCCAAATCCGCTCGGTTCGTCGACAGCAGCTGTTCAACGCGGCGCGCCGCCATTGTTATCTCTCTCTCGCTCTATCACCGCGTCCATTCGTCGCGCGTACCGCACCTCCCTCCCTCTATCTTCCAGTTTCGCTCGATTTCCGTGGCGTGTGGACGGTTGCGCGTTGTGCCGTCAAAAATTCACGGCTGGATTTATTCTTTGTCCAGGAACAAACTACAGAATAAACATTCCTTCACATTTACTTTCTTGTAAAAATTCAATTCGTGCGAATCAACTGGTGAAATTGACAAGTGTATCATTTGTGGTGTGCGTTTAGTGATTCCCGCATAGTCGATCGAGCATGAATAATAAAGAAGTAACCGGTGATATTGTCGTGTGCTCACTGGAAGGCGAAGGCTGGTGATAGAGCATTGTGGCTCGGTGTCGGCCGGGTCTGGCGTGTGATGGTGGAGAGGCTGCGGTGACGGCTAGCCGCTGAGCGGTTGGATGGCGGCAGTAAGCGGACCCGCGCGGCACTCTCGCGTCTCCATGAGTGTGTCCATGTCGCTGATGCAGGGCGGTACGCAGAGCGCGCCGCAGGGCGCCATCCTGGCGGCGGCGGCGCCCTACTACCAGACGCCGGCCATCCCCACGGATGTCCAACCTGACCGCCCCATAGGCTATGGTGCCTTCGGTGTCGTATGGTAAGCCCAACTTTTCATTTTATATTTATAATTAATTCTATAATACTAGTTATTTCAAATTATTTAGTACTGGGTAGTTACAATTTGGGTAGTAGTAGCCAAATTGGCCTAATAATAATTCTTAAAACTTGAATAAACAAGAGGTATTTGATCAATTTATGTATCGTTATCTTTGAGGATTCTTTTGTGGATATTATTTTGGCTTGTAAATTATAAACAGTTTATAACTATGCAAGTAAACAGTATATTCTCTACAAATCATGTCATATTTTGTTGTAGTTTTTTATGAAAAAGGTTTTACTGTAATTAATTGTTTCATATTTTTATACATATCTATTCAATTGCCAGCCTAAACAAAATTAATTACAGTATTGAACACAATTTTTACATTTAACTGTGAATCTCCTTGTGTAATTTGTTTTTTACCTTCCACCCACTACCAAAAAAGGGTAGTATTGAAATAATTTGGAAGGTAGTTATGGCATACCCTGGCCAGGTGTGTATGAGCAACTTTGTCAAATTCTAGTAATGTAAGGAAACTTATTAATTACAAAACAACAATCTGTAGTCTATTTTACTTGTTCTTGCCCTATTTTCTTTACTTAATTAATAATAAGAAAAATCAACCTAAATATTAGGTCTGTAGATCTACAGAGATTAAATAATCTATTCTAATTTTATATAAAATTCAATTAGATTATGTTCAAGGAATTAAAGATTATGAAATGAATGAATGAATTTGAATTTGAAAAATTAATGAATACCTCGTTTCCCCTTTTTGGCTACTAAATTTATTAATATCTTGTTATTTTTTTTGTCTCTTAAAAATTGATTGAATTGTCTTTTTTCACAAATTTCACCTTGTCAATACATGGAAATAGTGTTAGGTATCCCCCTGGAAACAACTTGTTTACTTTCCTTAACTTTTAAGGTATACCTATAATTAATTTTATAATTAATTAAACCTATATATTTTTTTTATTTGCAATCTGTCTTAATAAATAATAAAAAACAGTTGCCAGAAATATATTGATTCATAAAGTAGGTACCTTACATGAATCCTGTCAGGGTATCATATTGAGAAATTAAAATTGAGAAATTATTAAGAAATAACAATTTATATGTAAGGGATACATAATAAAATAGTCTTTCCGTTCATTTTGATGATACTAACAATATTAAAAAAAATAAGTCCATTATCTGTGCCTAAATGGTTACTAATTAATAATTCTGAAGTCATTCTACAAAATCAGATGTTGATGAGTTTGTTATCTAAATATTGACTTTCCAAAGTAAAGACAAACATGAACAGAAGAAATGGTTTGTCCACAAAGTAGTATATTAGTTACCTATTAGTCATATCAATTATGACAGGAAATAGCTTTAAATTCAATTTTCACAATCAATTTTACATATATATTGTAATACACAGCTACAGCTGACAATATTCAAATAAATTGATGACCTCCATGGCCAAGTGGTTTTTACGCTGGGTTTCAAGGTGTCATCTACTCGAGAGGTGCTTTGAATCCTGGTGGGGGCAGATGTTTGTGTGATGAATACGAGCATTTGTACTCCGGTCATAGATGTTTAATATGTATTTCTGTATAAATATATACGTATCAGAATATGTATACTATCCGTTACCCTAGTATCCCATAACACAATCTCACAGTGCTTTCTTTGGGCTTGGCTAATGGGTGCGCGAGTATAAAAAAATGATTATTCGCATATTTATCGTCAGTTGCCATTACCACAGATTACTAAATAGTGCCATTACTTGTATTACTCCCGTAATATGGCGCTACGAAACTTTAATATCAGAAAGTTAGTAACATGTGTGTAAAGTGAACTAGGCAGTCAGTCCTCTATCTGCGTCAGTTGGCCTATGTAAACACGTGGTGTTTCCAGCGCCTGTCGCTGGGTATTCGATTTAGCGCGTACGACATAAAAGTGGTTTTCAATATTCATGCTACAATTGAATGCACATTGCGTTCGTCGATATCGCCACAAAGCCAGACAATTCTCTGCTTTATTTGTTTGTTCTATAGTTTGGTTTTTAAACTACGCTCGCTACGGTTGATACAGTGGAGGTTGTTACTATCTACAAAAGTGGAGCTTGTGCTGCAGTATTACAGATGAAGTTGCGGTTGGCACGTCTAAACGAGTCCTGGAGTAGTGCAGCGAGGGCTAGAGGCAGTTAGGTATGGGTGGAAGCTTTGTGTGGCGGACTTGTCGACCGCCGAGCGTAGGTAGGGCTCCGATGGCGCTTGCCGCGTCGATTGTGTGTGAACGACCGCGACGAGGGGTGGCACGCTTGATTATTCCGAGACCGCGCCGATCGACGGTCGAGGGCCCTAAACCCGGTCTGTAGAGAGACGCTCCCTGATCCTTCTGTATCACGAAACATTGAATGAAAATAAGGAATGTATGCGTTCTTCTTTTGTCGCACAATCTTTTCTCTTCGTCAAATACAATCCCAAAACTGAGTACATAAACATGAAAGACGATGTTTAAACTATTATTCATCTCGCTGAGAAGCACACTCTTCCACTTATTAGGGTGGATCTCACAAATATATTTTTTTTAAAGCATTTTTTACCTTCCACAGGAATTTCTCTCTGATTTCAATCTATTAGCATACATTCTATAGTCTACCTTTCTGACAACTTTTTACAAGTATTTGGACCACGTTATCTCTTGTAGATTTTGAATAATCAAGAAAATTGTATTTATTGTCATGAATGTAATGACATCTATAGGAGTGTAATGACATTTTAATATTGCTGTAAAGAAATAAGGTATTTAAGGTTTATTTAAGGTATTCTTGTAATGATCTTATTTTCCTTAAGAATTTTAATAACAGACGGTAATGATCAATACGTTTATTTAATAAAAAAATAACGATAGTTTAATAATGTACTTTAGGCATTATTATACGTAGTACGATTTTGTCGGATAGGCCTATCAGTTTCAGTCTCATCAGGAGACCATCATAATTTGCAAGATAACTACGCTAAGGTCCTAAGTCCTTTGTAATTTAATCAAAGATAAATTCAAACAAAAATACTAGTCAAAACATAAAATAGGTAAGTCCAAAGATAAACTCGATAACAAAAATTCGAATAAAAAAAAATACAACTAAACAATAAACAATTCGAAACAAAATTACAACTCGAAACAAAAATAAACAACAATACCTACAGTTCGTAGAATTAATAAGGATTTGATTTTATAATAACAGAACAGTAACAAATACAATACTTTACTTTCTTAAATACTTATACAATACTTTCTTAAATGTAGGTAACAATTACTTATGTAGGTAGGTACTAACTGCGATATAAAAAAGCAAGGAATGATTAGGTGCTGATAATATACAATTAGGAACATAAAGGAGATCAGTCAAATTGCACCAAAAACATAAAACTATCGGCCAACGAAAATAAATTGCAGATTATTATTGTAAGCAGTGTAACGATCATTTTTTGTTATGACGTTAATAGTGTATGATTAGTGGCCAAGTGTTATTCAAGTTAGAAAATGATAAGAAAATGACATTTTCGAACTTGAATAACTGCTTGGCCACTAATCGTACACTATTGACGTCTTAACCAAAAATGATCGTACACTGTTTGCAATAGTATTGCTCAATTTATTTTCGTTGGCCGACACTTTTACTTTTTTGGTCCAAACATGTATGAAGCGTGACTGATCTCCTTTCAACTTTGAATTATTATTTAACCCAATTAAAAATATTCCAAAATCAGTAGTATCTTCGAGATCAATAGAATTTCTAATTCGTAAAGTACAAACTTAGCTTCAAAAACATCTAATTACTTTAGGAGTCAAACGAGTAAAAACATCTAAGTTCGTAATCTTATTATAAAATAAAAAGTTGACCTTAAACTTAATACCAGGCTTTTCATTTCTTTGGCTTTTTAAATACTATTTTTGGTTTTAAGAAATCTTCAAAATCAGCTAAATTTTCTTTATTGTCCGAAGATACGGTCGTCATGTCTTTAGATGTAGATGGTGTTGACTTGTAGGCGGATACCAAAAAATTTGTCATTTCCTCGGCCCCCAAAGAAATGTCCTGCAGCACAGTTATTTTATTTGATACACCATCATTAGGAAAATATTTCCTACTGCCTTTGGTGCGTACAAGCGGTGCAACAAAATCTTCTGGCTGTTGGATCTCTTTATTGAGTCTAGTTGGGTTTTTGGTGAATCCAATATGAAAGCCGTGGCCACATATTTCACCCGGGCTACAAGAAAAGCAGGTCAGGTTTCTAAAAGTGATAAAATCCTTATCTTTTTTCCAAAGAACTTGATGCACGGAGAGAGTGCCACGAAAAGTGGTAAGATTTTTTGGCATGAGGTTATCTTTGTCTGTTACCATTTCCTCTGTCACCGGCATTATAATAACATTCTTTAATTGTCCTTCTAAAATCTTGGTAAAATCAACAAAATTAGCAACATCTTTTCCAAATTTAACCGCTGCATCTGCTGTTCGTTTTACAACTGCACCTACACCATCAGGGGCACCTTTGCCGTGCCCTTTCTCGGAATAGTTCCATATAACACATTCAATTTGTGGAAAATCATTACAAAGTTGAGAAATCATGAAGAAAATGTACTTATTCCTATACTGCGACGTGGGGGAATCAGATAGAAAATATAAAGTAGTTACAAATGGGTTTTTTTCTATTGTCAGACGAATTAATGGTAATAGGTGCGCCCAAATAGCAGGTGCATCGTGACGCACACATTGGCTGACAGTACAAACCGACATAGGATCTACAGTTCCAGTCTGAAAATTATGGGTGTATACTACAGCTGTATGAAGGGTTATTTGGGAACGACTGCCACCGAAATGTAGAGCCTGAACTTCTTGGGCGAATTTAATACAGAAATTTTCTGAAAAATCTACATGTAGGAGGGCTTCATGGTTTCTCAACTTTTCTTTTAACTTTTTAATCTCGTTGTACTGGTTTACAATATTAAAACAGTGAAGAAAAAAGTCCGGCAAGTCATCGTTAAGTTTTTGAATAGCATCTAATGGCGAAATTTTTGTAGCTATTTTGGTTGTTATATTGCATATTTTCTTCTTCCTGTCTGCAGTTATGTACTCCCTTTTCTGTCTCTTCCACGAATAGTATTCAAGTTCTTTATCATTACTAAATTCTTTA